GTTCGATTCCTGGTCAAGGGCATGTACCTGGGTTGCAGGTTTGATCCCTGCCCCAGGTCAGGGTGTCTGGGGGAGGCAACCAATCAATGTGTTTCACATCGGTGTTTTTCTCCCTCTCTCTCCCCTCTCCATGCCCTTCCACTCTCTCTCTCTAAAAAAAAGGAAAATATATTCACAATCATTACGTGAAAATTAAAAAAAAATTGGGTGCTGAATTTTGTTAAATGCTTTCTTCTGCATCTATTGATATGATCATGTGATTTTCATCTTTCATTTTATTTATGTGATGTATCAAATTTATCGATTTGGGAATATTGTACCAGCCTCGCATCCCCAGAGTAAATCCCATCTGGGCATGGTGTATGATCTTTCTAATGTATTGCCAGATCTGATTTGCTAATATTTTGTTGAGTGTTTTAGCATCTGTATTCATCAGGAATATTGGCCTGTAATTTTCTTTGTTGTGTTTTTTTTTTTAATTTTTTAAAAAAAATATATTTTATTGATTTCTTACAGAGAGGAAAGGAGAGGGATAGAGAGTTAGAAACATCAATGAGAGAGAAACATCGATCAGCTGCCTCCTGCACACTCCCTACTAGGTATGTGTCTGCAACCAAGGTACATGCCCTTGACCGGAATTGAACCTGGGACCCTTGAGTCCGCAGGCCGATGCTCTATCCACTGAGCCAAACTGGTTAGGGCTTCTTTGTTGTGTTTTAATCTGGTTTTGGAATTAGGATAATGCAGGCCTTGTAAAAAGACCTTGCAAGTCTTTCCTTCACTTGAATTTTTTGGAATAGTTTGAGGAGGATATGTGTTAGTTTTTCTTTGAATGTTTGCTAAAACTCACCCATGAATCCATTTGGTCCAGGACTTTTGTTTGCTGGGAGTTTTTTGATTACTGCTTCAATTTCATTAGTTGTTATTGGCCTATTCAGATTTTCTGATTACTCCTGATTGGTTTTTAGAAGATTGTATGTTTCCATGAATTTGTCCATTTCATCCAAGTTGTCCAGTTTGTTGGCATATAGATGTTCTTAGTATTTTCTTACAATCCTTTTTATTTTTCTGTTGTCAGTTCTTACTTTGCCTCTTTCACTTCTGATTTTATTTATTTGGGTCCTCTCTCTTTGTTTCTTGATAAGTTTTGCTAAAGATTCATCAATCTTGTTTATCTTTTCAAAGAACCAGCTCTTGGTTGCATTGATATTTTATATTGTTATTGTTATTTTAGTCTCTATCATTTATTCCCACTCTGATCTTTATTATTTCCTTTCTTCTACTTACTCTGAGCTTTTCTTGTTCTCTTTCTAATTCTTTAAGTTGTAGGGTTCTATCGTTTATTTGAACTTTTCTTGTTTCTTCAGGTAGGTCTGTAATGTTATGAACTTTCCTCTCAGGACTGTTTTCGCTGTATCCCATAGATTTGGGGTTGTTGTGTATTCATTTTCACTTGTTTCCAGGAAATTTTTGATTTCTTCCTTGATTTCATTATTACCTCTTCATTGTTTAATAACCTGCTATTTAATTTTCGTGTGTCCTAATGTTTTTGAGTTTTTTTTTTTTTATTGTAGTTGATGTCTAGTTTCATGCCGTTGTAATCTGAGAAGATGCTTGGTATGATTTCAGTCTTGAACTTGTAAATACTTATTTTGTGTCCTCACATGTAATCTATCTTTGAGAATGTTCCATGTGCACTTGAGAAGAATGTGTATTCTGCAACTTTGGGATGAAATGTTCTGTAAATATCAATTAAATCCATCTGATCTAGAGTGTCATTTAAGGTCGCTGGTTCCTTGTTGATTTTTTGCCTGGAAATTCTATCCAGTGATGTCAGTGGAGTGTTTAAGTCTCCTACTCTGACGGTTTTGCTGTCCATCTCTTCCTTCAAGTCTTCCAGGAGTTTTAACAAAAGTATCTTTAGGTGCTCCTATATTGGGTGCATATATGTTTACCAGGGTTATATAGTCTTGTTGGATTGAGGCCATTATCATGTAGTAAGCTCCTTTGTCTCTTTTATAGCCTTTGTTTTGAAGTCTATTTTGTCAGGTATAAATATTGCTACCCAGCTTTTTTTTTTTTTCATTTCCATTTGTTTGGAAAAAAATTTTCCATTCCTTTACTTTTTTCCTTTGTGAGTCTTTTGTTCTGAGGTAGATTTCTTGTGAACAGGATATATTTGGGTCATGTTTTCTCATCCATTCAGCTACCCTATGTCTTTTGATTGGAGCATTTAATGCATTTACACTTAAGGTTATTATTGATAGGTACTTATTTGTTGCCACTTTTATGCTTTATGCCTATGTTTCTCTCTCTTTCTATTTCTTCTTCTTATAACAGTTTCTTTAGCATTTCTTGCAATGCTGATTTGGTTGTAGTAAATTCCTTTAGCCTTTTTTTTTTTTTGGTCTGGGAAGCTCATTATTTCACATTCAATTTTGAATGATAGCCTTGATGGACAGAGTAGTCTTGGTTTCAGATCCTTACTTTTCATTACTCTGAATACTTCATGCCTTCCCTTCTGGCCTGTAGTGTTTCTGTTGAGAAATCAGCTGACAGCCTTATGGGAGCTCCCTTGTAGGTAACTATCCATTTCTGTCTTGCTGCCCTTAAGATTCTCTCTTTGTCATTAACATTTGCAGTTTTAATTATGATGTGTCTTGGTGGGTGGCATTTTGTGTTCATCTTGGTTGGGACTTTCTGATCTAGTGTGTCATTTAAGGTCGCTGGTTCCTTGTTGATTTTTTTTCTGCTTAGTCGCTAATTTGATCCTCTGCTTTATCACTTTTAATTCTTTCCAATGTATCATTTTTTAAAAGTATGTTTTTATTGATTTTTAGAGAGACAGGAAGGGAGAGGGATGGAGAGAGAGAAATATTGATAAGAGAGAAACATCAACAATCCACTGCATCCTGCCCACCCCCTACTGGAGATTGAGCCCACAACCTGGGCATATGCCCTGGCTGGAAATTGAACTGGTGACTTCTTGGTTCATGGGTTGATGCTCAACCACTGAGCCACACTGGCTGGGCTCCAGTGTATTCTTGATGTCAGATATAGTATTCTTCATTTCTGACTGGTTCTTTTTTTAAAAAACATATTTTTATTGATTTCAAAGAGGAAGGGAGAGGGAGAGAGCGATGGAAACATCAGCGATGAGAGAGAATCATTGATTGCTGCCTCCTGTATAACCCCCTTTGGGGATTGAGCCGATAACCCCGGGCCTATGCCCTGACTGGGAATTGAACTGTGACCTCCTGATTCATAGGTTGACGCTCAACTACTTAGCCACGCTGGCCCGGGCCTGACTGGTTCTTATTCTTGGTTTATATGTTTTGTTTTTTTTCATGCTGATGTAGTTCCCACTAAGTTCCTTGTATTTCTAAGTTCCTTGAACATCCTTATAACCCTTCCTCTGAACTCTATATCTGTAAATTGCTTTCCTCCATCTCATTTAGGTCTTTTTCTCAAGATTCCTTCTTTTCTTTGGAGGTTATTTCATGTCTCCCCACTTCAGTTGTCTCTTTGTGTTTGTTTCTATGTATTAGCTATACGTGCTATGACTCCCAGTCTTCATGGGGTGGCCTTTTGTAGTAAATGTTGTGTGGGACCCATTGATACAGTTTCCTTGAACTTCTGAGCTATATGCTCTACGAGAGACCCTTTTGTTTATTATTTGGGCCCTCCTGTTGTAATTGGGTCTTGATTGTTTTTGTCCCATTCATGGGTGGGATCTCCTGTCAGGCTGGTTGACTGTGAGGCTCAACCCCAACGTGTGAGCTGTTATACAGGTGCGGTCTTGAGGTAGTTTTTGTACTTCCTTGTTTAAAAGTCTTCTCCTCAGCAAGTCTTCAGCTGGTAATTCAGGGTGAATCCCTTTCTTACCTTCTTATATGTATCCAGGCTGTATGCAGCAGCTCTAAGCAGTCATCTAACTCAGTGTTTATATTACTATTTATATTGGAAAAAATGAATTCTGTCCCTTCTCATTTCTCACTTTCAAATAAGGTACAGATTTTACTTAACAGTGTGACTCTAGGTTTAGGTAGTTCCAATCACCTTCCTCTCAGATGTATCTGTGTTGATTTTTAAATGTTCAATTTTTCCTTAATATAAAATGTGTTCTGCCATTTTTATTGTTAAGCCAAGATTGCTAGAAACTTCTGAGAAAAAATTAGAAACTTTGTGGTATAAGTTGCTTGTAATTCATTTTATATTTCATTATTTATCTGTTGAGAATCTCAGAAATAATGCTTTCATAAAAATTAACAAGTATTTGCACAAGTGTTATTTGAATTTCTTGGTTCAGTCATATAATTTTGTTTGCATTTTTGTTTTACATTGTGCTATGGAGCATTAGGTTTTTCTTAAGAGGTTCTGCATAGACAGTGTAAATATATATGTTGCTTTATTTCTTTTTGCTTTATTTCTTAAAGCAGCAATCTATACATCTTAAATGTTCTTACAGCACACAAAAATTTGTAATTATGTTGAGGTGCTAGATGTGTAAACTAACCTTATTGTGGTAATCATTTTGCAGTATGTACGAGTATCAAATCATCACATTGTACACCTTGAACTTACATAATATTACATTCAATTATATCGCAATGAAGCTGGAAAAAAAAGTAAGCAGCAATCCAAGTTTGGTGATGTAGCCAGCATTGCCCGCGATTCTAAAATGTCCCGCAGATTATTAGGATTTGGTTTGCAGGCAGTAGAAAGTGGTATTTAAGTTATATTGAGGTTTTCTTTAATGTAGATAAAATGAAAGATAAAATATATTTGGGCTTGGTATGAAGTGTATTTATAACAGTTCTTTTGTTTATATAGTGGACTGAAAGATTTAAATTCTAGTATTTTTATAGTCTTTGAATTACTGAGTTAAATAACTTTAAACTTTGTTGTTTTTTTTGAAAGATATCTCTGTACTAATTTGTATCAGTTATGTGGGTGCTAGTACAAAGGGATGTATACTTTCTTTGTCTGTTTTCTTTTAGGGTAATTCCTCTCCTGCAATTACTTTTGGATGGAAATATGCTTTTTTTCCAGTAGAAGATGGTAAACTTGGAGAATGACCATGGAGAAGGGGATGAGTTCTGGAGAAGGCCTGCCTTCCAGATCATCTCAGGTTTCGGCTGTTAAAATAACAGCCAAAGAGTTGGAAACAAAGCAGTCCCATAAAGAGAAGCGAGGGGGCTTTGTGTTGGTACATGCAGGTAAGCTCTATGTGAGTGAGTCAAAAGATGAAAATAATGTTGATTTTTTTTCTTGCCTTTACGTACACTGAGAATTGAATTTTACCTTAGGAGAAGGCACAGTACCAGAAAGGAATTGGAACAAAAGAGATTGACTTCAATATAGTGAGGGCCTCCCCTAATTACTCACTTGGAAGATCTTGAAATGACAGCTCTTCTTATGTCTTCTCTACTCCTCTACCCTATTATTTACTTTTTCTTTCTATCTATCTATCTATCTATCTATCTATCTATCATCTATCATCGCAGTGGTTCTCAACCTTCTGGCCCTTTAAATACAGCTCCTCATGTTGTGACCCAACCATAAAATTATTTTCGTTGCTACTTCATAACAGTAATGCTGCTACTGTTATGAATTGTAATGTAAATATCTGATATGCAGGATGGTCTTAGGCGACCCCTGTGAAAGGGTCATTCGACCACCAAAGGGGTCGCAACCCACAGGTTGAGAGCCGCTGATTTAGAGCCTAATATGCAAATTGTCCCCATAGGAGTTCGACTGGGAGACCGGGAGTTTGATTGCTCACTATGATGTGTACTGACCACCAGGGGGCGGCACGGAACAAAGGAAGGCCCCGGCCGGCAGCTGGGGAAGGGAGGTTCAGGCCAGCAGCTGGAAGGCCTCGATCTGCCCTGATCGCTGACCAGGCCTAGGGACCCTACCCGTGCATGAATTTTGTGCACCGGGCCTCTAGTATAGATATATTTAGGTAGTGTTAAAACCAGACAAAGTAATTTTTTATACTCTGGTTTGTAGTTTTAAAAATAATTCTGTTGAAAAAAATTTTTTTGACCCCCATATTTGAGTATGGCCATATTAGAGTCCATTTACACAGTGTTAGAACCAGTTTGCCTTTTTAATATGATATGTGAGGAATCTTAAAACCAGAGAGATTGAGTGGCTTCAGCCACATGGCTAGTTCCTGCTAAAGCCAGGTTGACAAACCCTTAAATGTGTCCTTAAGTCCTAATCTAGTGTGTTTGGCAATATATCAGCTTATAATCTCTACTTCAGAGGACAACACAGACAGACACTGTGAAGTTTAACCCTTGGGTCCCTTATCATTGAAGAGTTTTGAGTTACAGAGCTATGCACCTCTGCAAGGTCTGTTCAGTAGGCTTTTTTCTTTCTTTTCCTCTAGTCATTTCTTACTTGCCTGTATTCAGTTTCTAAAGTTTATGACCTCCCAGAAAGAAGAAGGAATGGCTGGGTCTCCTTTTAACTTTGCTCAGTCATAGAGTATGAGCACAAGGTTAGCTTTGACCTGGCATTGAGGAGTGGAATTGTTTCTCCTTGTCAAACTGGTAGACTTCTGGGAAGTCTTACAGAATCTAATCCAGATGAATTAACAAAAAAGCAGATATATTTTCATTTTCTTTCAAATGGTTGAGAAAAGATAGGTTAAGTTTGTGTCAATCTTCAGCCTCACACGAGGACCCAGGAGGCTTAGAGATGTAGTTCTTAACCTTCCTTATGCTGTACTCCTATAGGGCTTTGGGGCTTGGGTGGGGATGGGGTGGGGTAGGGGTTCAGAACTTTGATTAGAAGCCTAATTATCACAACACTTTAAGGCCTCTTGTCTTGGTTTCTTTCTTATTTACTAAACAATTAACCTTTTTAGGGAAACAAATTTCAGGGCCATTCTCTTGAGGAAGTTGCTGGGTGTTTATTAAGAGCCAGGGACCAGCCCTAACCAGTTTGGCTCAGTGGATAGAGCGACAGCCTATGGACTGAAGGGTCCCGGGTTCGATTCCGGTCAAGGGCATGTACCTTGGTTGCGGGCACATCCCCAGTAAGGGGTGTGCAGGAGGCAGCTGATCCATGTTTCTCTGTCATCGATGTTTCTAACTCTCTATCCCTCTCCCTTCCTCTCTGTAAAAAAATCAATAAAATATATTTAAAAAAAAAAGAGCCAGGGACCAATAGAATTTCTAATAGGCAGGCAGGAATACACCATCAGTGAGTTTTCAGAGACACCCTGGGCTTAAATTCCAGAGGATGTAAACGTTTGGGTAGGCGTGGTAGTATTGATGGTGCGTGTGTTAATATAGGTATGCTGTAACACCCCTCAGCTTCAAATGCTATTTAGAAACTAACTAGTTTTGTAAAGTTACTTTTAAGAATTCTGGATTCCCAAATAGCAGGTGCTTTCTTTTGGTTAACCAAGAAGAACTTGAAAGGACTCTTTTCCCTGACACTACTTGGGTTATCAACTCCGGGCCAAAAAACTCCTGACTTTGGAGACAGGTTTTTCAAAAAGGAGGAGAGGTGACCTTGATGAAACTTCTTTGGGGACATGAGCTATTTCTGGTGCTTCTGCCCAGAGAATAGTTTTTGAAAAAGAAGAGAAGGCATGGTATTAAAAAGGCTTCTGGTGGAGAAAGAAGCTATAAGATTTTTAAAACCACGTACAGTTACACAAAGACAATAGTTTTATTGTTACTAGGAGAGCATCAGTTTGTAAGGACTATTTATATAATACTACAGGCTCAGTGCACGAATTCATGCATAGGTGGGGTCCCTTGGCCTGGCCAGCAATTGGGGCCACCGGTGGTTGTCCAGGGAGAGGGGCTGCAGGAGGTTGGCCAGCTGCCCTGATCGGGGCCAATGGGACCGGCCAGCTGGGGGGAGGGACTGTGGGAGGTTTGGCCAGCTTAGGGGAGGGACCACGGGAGGTTGGCTGTGGGAGCACACTGACCACCAGGGGGCAGCTCCTGCAGTGAGCGTCTGCCCCCTGGTGGTCAGTGCACGTCATAGTGACCAGTTGTTCTGTTGTTCAATCACTTAGCCATTTATATCTTATATGATAAAGAGGTAATATGCAAATTGACCATCACACCCTCACACAAGATGGCTACCCCCATGTGGTCACAAAATGGCCGCCACAAGATGGCTGGCAGGGGAAGGCAGTTGTGGGTGATCAGGCCAGCAGGGGAGGGCAGTTAGGGGTAACTAGGCCAGCAGGGGAGGGCAGTTGGGGGCAACTGGGCCTGCAAAAGAGGGCAGTTAGGGGCAACCATGCTGGCAGGGGAGGGCAATTAGGGGTGACTGGGCTGGCAGGAGAGGGTAGTTGGGGGCAATCGGGCCAGCAGGGGAGCAGTTAGTCAGTCAATTAGGTGTGATCAGGCTGGCAGGCAGAAGCAGTTAGGGGCAATTAAGCAGGCAGGCAGACGAGCAGTTGGGAGCCAGCAGTCCCAGATTGTGAGAGGGATATCTGACTGCCGGTTTATGGGATCAGGCCTAAACTGGCAGTTGGATAACCCCCGAGGGGTCCCAGATTGGAAAGGGTGCAGGTGGGGCTATGGGACACCCGCCCCCCCCCCTCAGTGCACAAATTTCGTGCACCGGGCCTCTAGTATATAGATAAGCAAAGTCTGTGACATTTTAATGAATACTAATAATTGGTTGGTTTGTTCCACTACAGGTGCAGGTTATCATTCGGAATCCAAAGCCAAGGAATATAAACATGTATGCAAACGAGCTTGTCAGAAGGTATAATAAAAATTTCCGTTTTGACTATAGAGGAGCTTTACCTTGAAATTCAAAATTTTAAGCGTTGTTGTATAAAATCATCCTTGTTTTGGACCATCAAATAATTTAGCTCATATTTGTGAGGTCCTTGTTTTATTTTGTGTTGTTTTATTCTTCAAATCATGCTTAGAACTTTTCCTTCCTTTCCCAGATTAAAATCTGTATTTTTGGAATTATGGGCCCTTAATCATATATCTTTTAGTCTTTGCCAAGACGTTGAGCTCTATAGAAAACAGCTCAAAGGCAGCCAATGTGTCTTTCTGTGAAGGTAAAAAAATACTAACAAATGAAAATGGGTACTTTTCTTAGGGAGATCATCCCTTACATTTTCCTTCTGTTTTTCATCATGTAGTTTGTATCATGGAAATTCATTATCATTCCTGAGTTAGCTTTGCCCTTGTACTGAGTTGTGTTTTTTTTCTCTTTGGTTTTTGAGGTTTTGCTAAATTGTTGAATACTTAATGTGGCAGGAATGGAATCAGAAGAAATATTGTTTGTTTTTATTTTGATCCTGACTAAATACTCTTATAGGGAAACCCTTCATTTACTTCTACTTAAATAAAATGTTAATTGCGTATTGTATATCAAGTAAATGAATCTTCCATCCCTTTTTATTTCTATTTACATACCATTTAAAAGAAAGATTATACTTTGTTAGAGATCCAGGCTTTCTGTTACGAATGAAATCCCATAAATAAATAAGAATATTTTCTTATAGAGATATTTTTAAAAATTTATAATAAAGCGAAAAGTTCTCAAAGTGCTTTTATGTTTTTTGTCCTTTATTTTCAAAGTGTGAAATCTTTTCATTATCTAAAAAGAAATGTTTTTCTTATGTAGAACAACTATAGTCCTAGAAATTTAATACATTTGGAGTATATACTCAGCCTCCTCAATTTATACAATGAATGAACTTCTTAAAAGTTTAATGCAATTCTGACAGATCAATGATTTTCTCTCATCCTTGACGTTTCTTTCTCTCTCTCTTCTCTGAAATTAATAAAAAATATATTAAAAGTTTAATCCAGTTCTGTTTGAGCTTTCTCTTTATAGACTAACTTGGAGCTTTAATAGTTCATTTAGCAATCAGTCTTCCTTGTCTTTCTTTCCTCTCTTAACTTATATTCAAGAAGCAAGGAAGCAAGGTGATTTTATAGATCTTTACTCTGTGTAATTTATATTACAAAAGAATATGATTTGTGCCTGGCCAGTGTTGCTCAGTGGTTGAGTGTTGACCTGTGAACCAGGAGGTCACGGTTTGATTCCTGATCAGGGCACATGCTTTGGTTGTTGGAGGTGTGGAGGAGGCAGCCAATCAATGATTCGCTCTCATCATCAATGTTCCTATCTCTCTCTCCTTCTCCCTTCCTCTCTGAAATCAATAAAAATATATTAAGACAAAACAAATGCCAATTTTGTTTCCCTTGTCGGAGGAGATATGTGAGAAAAAATATTGCTGTGAGAAATGTGTGATATTTTACTGCCTATATTTTTGAGAAGTTGTGGTTTTACAATGAATAATCTCTCCCCTTGGTTTCATAGGCAATTGAAAAGCTACAGGCTGGTGCTCTTGCAACGGATGCAGTGACTGCAGCTCTGGTGGAACTTGAGGTATTTCTTTTCTTTACATTTTATTTAAAATATTTGTGAGTATATTTGTTATTCTTAAATGACATGAAACTGCCGAGTTAGTCAACCATCAATTATATGACCAGTGTTTACCAACAATATTAACTAAATTGTGAAGAAGCCTGTGATATTGTTAGATTGTTTTTATTGAGGATTTCTCTGAGTAATATAAAAAAGTTAGTTAAGTTCCTTTTTCCCACATTTTGTGAGATTCATGGATATAAAAGTTACTAGTTACTTAACATTACTGGATACTTACATATCCTCCATATTTTTAGTAGGAAAATTCCTGAAGTTAATTCCCCTAAAAGTAATACGTTTAGAAAACAAAAATTTCCAACTATTTATAAGTGTCTTAAGTGGAAGGGAAAGTTTCCTTACCAACCTAATGGTTCAATATATATTCTGAAGCTATGCTCTGTGAAGCATGTCTTGTCCAACGTGGTTGTTAGGTTGGTCTCCAGTTACTGGAGACGTTGAGGAATTCAATGGGGAGGTGATCAAGTTTGCTCTAATTCTTTGTATTCTAGATTGAGGGTCTCTCAGCTCTCTTAGTGTGGAACTGTGACTACAAGTTTGTTGAGGGGATGTTGAGGTCTTCAGAAGACCAACTTCTGCCAATCACACTTAGAGAAGATAGATTTATATTAGTTAATTTAGAGCAGTGATGGCGAACCTTTTGAGCTCGGCGTGTCAGCATTTTGAAAAACCCTAATTTAACTCTGGTGCTGTGTCACATATAGAAATTTTTTGATATTTGCAACCATAGTAAAACAAAGACTTATATTTTTGATATTTATTTTATATATTTAAATGCCATTTAACAAAGAAAAATCAACCAAAAAATGAGTTCGCGTGTCACCTCTGACACACGTGTCATAGGTTCACCATCACTGGTTTAGAGGATTAGAATAAATAAATAGTTTGTTGGTTGAAAAGACTACTTGGGGAATCAAATAAGATAGGAAGATAAAATAGTGATGAGTTTGAGGCAGAAGGGGATGGTTAGAGTAGATCATCCCAAGTTGACTAGATTATGGCCCTTGTGTTTAGGCTCTCATATCAGGACACCTACCCTGTCATGCCAGGCCCTGCTTTTCCCTGTGAAAATTGCCCAGTGCCTAAAGTCATAGCACTGTTTTTTGTATATTCCCTGAGCTGCACTTTTGATCATGCTTTATACATTTTAATTTCTCCTGTTAACACTTTTAGCTTGGTTTTAGCCAAGGAAGATAAACAAACATGGTGGGCACCAGTTCTATTATAGTTTGGCCTCAGGGGCATCTGACTTGGGGATATGTGGTCCTTTCCTATTGTGACTGATACCAGTTCTACTAATTATTAGCCATATGTCTGTGGGAACCTCACACTTCTCCTTGATCCAGTTTTTTCATTATAATATGAGGATAATAATGCCTGCTTTACAGAGCTGTGAAGATTAACTGAATTAATATGACAATGTGTGGTAAGCAGTTCATAACTGTTAGCAATTACTATTATTAAGAGGTGTTTTAGAAATGATATGTATGATGTGAATATTTATAGTAACTATTAATAACAAGTTTTATAATGTCAAAGAACGGTTAATTATATATTGTGGATAAGAGGAGAAAAGAAATGCAAGAAAGAAGATTGATGTATACAAATCTTACCTTTACTCAACACATCCACACAAGGAACGCTTCATCTAATTTAATTCAGTTGTTAATTGCAGATTACTCTCCTTTGTGCAGAAGATGATGTTCTGAGATTATCTGAGATTACTGGTGTATGGAGTCACTGTGGGTCTGGGGAATGAAGGTTAATGAATGGCTAAAGGATATACTATAATGGCAACTATGAATATAAAATTGAGTAAAATTAAGTTTTCCTCTTTCTTTTCATTTTAGAATAACTTTAATTTCTCCAAGTCATATTTATATCATATTGACTATTTCATTACATTCCTCCCCAGTGAAGTATCAATCATTTCTTAAAAATTTACTTATTTATACTTAAAGTGATTTAAATTACATTTGGAATAATGTGTTACACATAATTAAGTGAACTTCATAATTCTGAATGATGATCTGTGTTTTTTATGAGTGTGGGCATGTGAAGTTTTTTTTAAACACATTTTATTATTTTTGATTGTTACAGAATACTGTTCTAAGTGAGATTAGTGTACTTTCCCCCATTAATTTATTAAATTTGGGGAAGAATTTCAGTGAATTATCTTCATTTTTATTTATTTTTTCAGTGAATTATCTTTAAAAATTCATTCGTATGTGGAATCTTTGATTAAAATGTATATTAGTAGTTTAAAGGCTAAGGCTAACCTGGAAGAATCTTTCTGAATCTTAAAAATTATGTTGGGCCTGGCTGGCATGGCTCAGTGGTTGATTGTCGACCTATGAACCAGGAGGTCATGGTTTGGGGTGCATGCCCAGGTTGTGGCTAGATCCCGGCGGGGGGTGAGGGGGCATGCAGGAGGCAGCCGATTAATGATTCTCTCTCATCATTGATGTTTCTATCTCTCTCTCCCTCTCCCTTCCTCTCTGAAATCAATAAAAATATATTAAAAAAAGAATTATGTTGGAAGTCATGTTATAGTGTCTCCTACAGTTTCAGTCACCGTGCATAACTATGATTCGCAACCTTTAAACAGGGCGAGGTTTTCTTTTTCTTTTTTTAATTATTTATTGCTGAGAGAGAGAGAGAGAGAGATTGATTGATTTGTTCTCCCACTTATGTATGCAGTCATTGATTGATTCTTATCTATGCCCCCACTGGGGATGGAATTTGCAACCTGGATATATCGGGACAACACTCTTAACAAACTGAGCTACTTGACCAAGGCTAAGTAGAGTGAGGTTTTCAAATAAAGAGTTGAAGTATTATAATAGTTTGGGTCAATGGAAAGACATATGAAAATCAGATTCTAATATTTTCTGTACTTCAAGAAATATAAGCAACAATATTGAGTCCTTTCACTCTACTGAAAAGTCCCAGAGGGTCTGATTTATACTGTTATGTTTATTGAACATAATTACTTATCTTAGTTTGATCAATCTATTCAGTAGAGTTTTAATTCGATCTTTTAAGTCTTTTCCTACTTATTGACTAGATATGGACAGTCATACCATTTCTTTTGGACTTTGGGATATACTTTTTGACTAAAACAAAACTGTACTTTTAAAACTTGCCTGTTACATTATTACTTAGGCAGATAATGAAAATCAATTTGAATTTCTTGAACACTTTACTAATTATAAATTGATATGACTGAAATGCCTTATTGTTCCATGTTGGCTAGAAGGGTTTTCTGGCTTTGTATTTTGAAAAATATGAAAATTTGCAGTTAACCCAAGTAGTATAAAGTTCTCTGATCTCAATTCGACATCATACAGGAGGAAGAGACCAAGTGAAAGAAAAGAAAGTTTATATATATATGTATGATATACAACCAAAACATGATGTGTCTAAGTGACCTACATTTAATATAGTCCATCTAGAGTTATCATTGTTCAGCTTTTTTTGGAACCTATTACCTTGTATAGTTACCTGTATCTCATCTACCAGTACAGACAGGTGGTGTTTTCCTAAGATTACCACTTCTGGGCACTAGATTCGGTATTTCTTATATTTAAATAAGGGAGGAGGGCTGAGCTCATAAGTTTCTACCTATTAAACTGATTAGCTTCTCTCTTCAGGGTTTTGGGAGGGAAGTGGCCACTCGTAGGAGAGGTGTTTTTAGTGTGAAAGTGAAAATGATATGACACCAAGTACAATTTGTTTATCTTCAAAATATGGGGAAGGAAATAGATCAGTTTTTAGATCATGTTTTAATAATTTATTATTAAATTTATTTGGTCCCATTGTTTCATTTAGCTATATATAGCTTTTTTGAGATTATCTTTATAACTAATGGTGACTTATATCCATTGGATAGTACAACTCTGATTTCACTCACAGTAGAGAAGATAAATATTGTGAAACAATTTGATCTTTACAGCTAGGGCTATGCATTTGGAAGACAGTTGCTTTCATGGCTGCTTTTGCAATAGTTTTGGTTCAGGTAGTGACAGTGAATTTTAAATTCTAAAGATAATTTTGTAGATTTTAAATGGTACAGCTTCTGATATGAATTTTTTCTTTGAGAAAATTGGATATAGATCTGGGTGAGTCATGATGCCACTTCTAAAGTAGGAAGTGTTTTATAGATTGGGATAGAAAATGAGCTAAAACTCATAAAATAATTACAGAAGCTCCCTTTGCAAATCAATTTAAAAAAATATACTTTTATTGATTTCAGAGAGGAAGGGAGAGGGAGAGAGAGAAACATCCTATATAATAAAAGCGTAGTATGCAAATTGTCCCCTCGACCAGGAATTCGACCAGGGTAAGGAAGGGAGGCCCCAGCCAGTGGTGGCAGCAGGCAGCCAGGGGAAGGGAGGGAGTACCCAGCCGGCAGCCGCTGGGGACCCTACCAGTGCACGAGTTTCATGCACTGGGCCTCAATGATAAGAGAGAATCATTGATCAGCTGCCTCCTGCACGCTTCCTACTGGGGTTTGAGCCCACAACCCGGGTATGTGCCATTGACTGAAATCGAGCCCAGGACCCTTCAGTCTGTAGATTGATGATCTATCCATTGATCCAAACCAGCCAGGGCTTGTTTTTTTTTTTTTAAGTACTAAGGCCTGTTTATAAAAATCTAATAAATAATAGTTGAAATTTGAGTGACAAATCTTTGAGAAATTATTTGTAGTTCTGTGTGAGAAAACTGATGAAAGTGAGATTTTGAAACTCTTGATGTAGCTAGCCTTTGGGAGATTTTGGTTAATTCATTTTAAAATCTGGTTATTCTGGTAGGTGGAATACTCTGCGTTAAAAATAGTGATGGGCTCGAAACCGGTTTGGCTCAGTGGATAGAGCATCGGCCTGCGGACTGAAAGGTCCCAGGTTCGATTCCGGGCAAGGGCATGTACCTGGGTTGCGGGC